CTGGAAGGGACAAAATAAATCTTTGGCATCTTCAGTAACTAGAGATGTAAACAACTGCAAAGAAATTTGGAAAAATAGCCAGGTAAATATTTTTTTATTTATTACTGTTATTAGTCACTTTATTGGCCAAGTACTCATTACTTTGTGTATGTTCAGTTGGCAGATGCCAAACAGTTGGGGTTTTTTGTATTTGTTCTATTTTTATAACTAAGAGACAGCTGCTACTCTTGAAATGTAGACAGATTTGATCACCTCATGATCAAATTGGATGAATGAATCAAAATGTGGTGGAATGTTCTGTTTTCCACTCTGTGTAGAAAGCAAGGAAAAATGGCAGGAAACTTATCATGGCCTAAAGAGCTGGGCAGCTGAATTAATAAATGAACAGAGCTGGGCAAAACTCCTCGGACACTGCTCTCCTACTAGAATTATATAGACTTTTAAATAGAAAATAAGACTTATGTAGAAACTTAATTTCTATTCTAAATGAGTCTCTGATCTTTATTCTGAAATGTGGAGATGTTGAGGTCCATCTTCACTGGTATACCTTGTTGACCCTGCAACTCTTGCCAGTTCTGGTTTGTTTCTGTTGCATTCACAGAGTGAGAACTCTTGCTCGCACTTCCATAATTTCTAATTACAGCTGCCTGTCCTCCTCTTTCCTCTCTCTTGTCTTTCTGCTAGTGCATATTAAAAAAGATTCCTAAAGAAACACAGGGAGAAGCAGCTGAGAACTTAATTAGGTGTTACTCTGAAGTTCCTTGTAATAATCCTTTCTGCATCACTTTCTTCTTGATGATGATCAGATTTCTTCCTACAGGTATCCAGTTGTTGAATCACTGTGTTCTGATAAGTCTATGCAATAATTTTTTTTTTTTTTAAAAAACACCCGTTGTAATTTTTTAAGCCAGAAGTGAAATCATTAGATCACTCAGATGCTATCAAGATCCTTGTCAAAACATGAAAGAAAGGAAAGGAATCGATTTAAAGCAAGGAAATGATAATTCCATTTTACTTACTCCCGAAATCCTCTCTTTCAGAAGGCAGCTCTAGCCTAGGGCATGCACAGTGAAAAATTCAGATACGTGCTTTTGTGGGCTTGTTTAACAGTTTCACAGACTTTTTTTTTTTTTTAAGAATGACTCTGCAAAATTGTTCTGCAAGAGATGTTCATAAACCTCTTGGTTTCTATAGTCCAGTTTGCTTCTTAAACACTCTTTTTTAATCTTTTTTTTATTTATTCCTATTTTTTTTTTTCTACTCAATGAGGTCTACACCAGGCTAAATCACACCTTTAAATTATCTTAGACACTAACATCAAAGCTAAATGCTAAAGTTTTTTCCAAGCATGGCTACTGAGACATAGGCAGTCATATCTGAAATCTCCAATTGTATTGAAATCATTTATGCTCCCTATTCTTCAGTGATCTGCAGGAAGTGCTTGGTTTTCTTATAGAAGATATAGTCCTGCATATTTCCTTTAAAAGTACTCTCTCAACTGTGCTTGTTAAGCCTAGATAAGACTGTTTGCTAATGGCTGTCACTTTTTCTTTCTGAACTTGACCTTTAAAGCATCATCTTTAGAAATTCAGTGTAATATAACTCCATGATTTTATATTGACTTTAAACTTTTTTCCTTATCCATCTCTTACTAATTTTTTTTTATCCTTCTAAGAAACTGAATGGCATATGCTGTTTAGGTGCAGGGCAGTTATATTTAACTTTACTAGGATGGAAACATTTGGGGAATATTTAATTTTTCTTTTAGGAATTCATTAGAGAAAACTAGGAGAGTGCTATTTTCCCGTAATGATACTGCTCAGTCATTCTGTAGAAAGGGGCTAAAAGAACTGATGATATAACCTGCCTACCTTAAAGCTCTTTATAGTATTTGAATAGCAAATTTATGACCACAAAAATTTTCTGTACTGACATTGTGAAAACTTTTCAAAGTAGTTTTTTGTGGTTCCATTCTCAAAGATAGAGATGAAAATTTCATGGGGTATGGCTTTTGAAACAAATAATTCTTGCTGGGAAACAGTCTGCTGCCTGAACATGCCTGGTATTCTCAGTTTACCTGATAAAAAACTAGCTTGCAACACTGCCCAAATTTTTAATGCACATGTACAAGCAGTTCCCTTTTTACCCAGTTTAACCTGTGTTGAGACTGATCTTTCACCTCAAACAGGATTATGGTTTTTTTTACTGTCACACCCTAGAAGGGTCAATGGTCTGAGAGACATCAGGACTGTCCTTTGAGCCTCAGACAGGTAGAAGAAGCAGAATAGTAAAATGTTGAATATGAGAGTACTTTAGAAAGCTGTATGTCAGGCTATATTCCTTTGAGGTCAAATTTGGGCAGGTAATAGCAACTTGAATACAGTTATCTCCCATTGTATAAAGTTAACCTGATTATGTGGACCTTAGGATGTTTGAGACATTATAGCTCTAGGCAGTGAATTAGTTTCGGCATTAACTGTTTGTGGTGCTACTATGCTCTGCTGCAACAGAGGTTAAAAATTACTGTTTTGGTGTCATGTCTTCTACATTTTGGCTTTCCTATAGGGAGGGGGTAAACCTCATGACTATTAGAACTGCATTTAGCATTGTGGACTATTTCAAAATGGAGGAGAGAGAAAAGGATCCTGCCTTGAATACATTTAATATGTGATATATAAATGTAATTAAGCTATTCGCCATAAAATAGATTTGACCATGTTTTCCATCAACTTTTATTTCTTGTTAGAAGGTAAAGTTCTAAACAGGAATGGGATTCCTTTTCCTTACCAACTTCTGTCAGAGTTAAGACCGCCTGCTGGACTGTTTCCTAGAAACATACAAGTTATTTCAATAGCTAGTTTTGCAAAATCAGGGGTTTTTTTTTTTTGGTAGTGGAGGCTTTTCATCATTGTTTTGGCTGTTGGTGAACAACAGCTCAAGAAAACTTTGAGAATACATATTTTGATGAAAGTAAGTAGCGTATTTAATTACTACACAAAATAATGTTCATTGTGTTTATTTTAAAGGTAATTGGATTATTTTTAAACCTATACAAGTGAAAATGGTGCCTGTTTCTTTGTTTAGTTTAAACATTGTTAGCAAATCTAGCAGGTCTCATGCATCTTCTTCAGATGGATGAATTGTACAGGGTTAATTTTATTGATGCTTTCAGGAAGTTGATATTATCATGCAAAATGATAAATGCCTTTAGTGGAATGAGGCTACGTCTTAAAAACTATTGTTATATTGCATGCTTGCACCATGAGAACTGAAGCTGATTTTGTAGTGTACAATCAACTACAGTGGTATGGATGGCAAATGAATAAAATCTTAAAAGAATACTTGTACATAAATACTTTCAAAGTACACTGATGTACTTTAAGTACATCATAATGGAAATGTGCAATGGAAAATCTTCCCATTTCAGACATTTTGTGAATGGTGTTTCATCACTGCCTGTGCTTAGATTTGAATTAAAAAAATAATAATTCAGAATGCTTAAATAAGGTACCTAGTTATAATTATGATAATTTCACAATGAATTTTAAATCAAGGAACTATGCTTTCATGTGCACACACTTACATGTATTGTGTATTTGTTTTTAAATGAAAAGAAACCTGGTCTCCATCTTCCTGTTGACATCAAACAATCCTCTGATATGCAAATCCAGCTATGGGGAGAACAGATACACAGGGCTTGTTTGGATTCAGTCCAAGACTGAGAGAAAATTATATTTAAAGAAGTAATTTATATGCTTTGCCTCATTTAAATAAAAATGCATTTTGAAATAATCCCTATAACTAAAAACATTTTGGTGAAATATTATGATCCTTTGTATGACTGATGCATTTTTCTATAACTGGTTTAAAAACATCTTTCTCATATTCCTGTATATCTCTGCAATGATGTAGCTGTCAGCATCTTAGTGGCACATTTTATCGTAGCGTATGAAAATATTTTTGTTTTTCTGGAGTAATAGATGTTTGTTTTATGAACTTTCTTAGAGTGTGTGTGTGTGAAGTGTGTGTACACTCACTATTGAAATACATTGCTATTAAAATACTTTGCTTTCCATCTAAAAATTTGCTACTATTAATGCTGTTCGTGTATTTTCTTTGTGTGTTTAAAATCTGTCAAAATATTATTTCTTTAAAAAGAGACACTAAATGAGCAACAATTTTTCAGTCTTTTTACCTTTAGCTGCAAAATTTATAATGATCAACTTGCACGTTTTAGCATTGGCTGAATTCCAGGTTTTCAGTATGTATTTTTGGAGGACTGTGTTACTCCAGTTCCTGAATATAATATTTGAAGGAGATGTGTGTAGCAGAGTATAATTATGTTTCACGTAAGCTTTAACAGGCTATTGAACTGTTACTAGTGATCAGTAATGGTTGTTTATACAGGACGGAAAATACTTGAACAGGAGTTAGATCACTACGAAATTTTCAGAAATCACAGTTCCTTTAGTCCCCTTTTATGTATTGCAGAAGTTTCTAAGACTGATCTGATTAATTCTTCTTACATTATCTTTGTGATTATGTGTAACTTCTATTTTTTTCCTTCTAATTAGAAAATGAGGGTATGGAAATCGATGTTGGTGTAAGGAAGTATTCTGCTTGGGAAGTTCTGTGGCACTCACCTTTTATCTGACCTTTATTTGTTCTGTGGCCACTTACTCTATGCTAGACTATTCTGACCACATTAATCCTTCATTTAGGATTACTAAATACTATATAAAATCTATTTTGGGATAGCAGTTTTATTTCATTAATGTCATTTATGGCTCTATGTGTTGACTGACTTAAACGCATACATTATACATGCATTAATATTTAAGGGAAAAACTTTCTATGTCAAGAAATTTTGTTAAACCTTTCTCATTAGGTTGTGAGCCTCTCGTATTTTGTTTTTAAACAAAGGATTTTCTATCTTTTTTTCATTCATTTTATGCAAGTTTTAAATTTTAATATTCAGTGTCCATCCTTCTTTCTTCAAGCATTTTAAGAAACAGAAGAGGTTGATTCCTGAAAGAACAGTTTGGAAATACTTTGTTCAGCTTTGCAGTGCCTTGGAACATATGCATTCTCGTCGTGTTATGCATAGAGGTAATAGAGGATCAGAGATAATTTGTCTCTACTAAACCTTTTACTATGTGAGAATTAAGCTGGTTCAATGTAAATGACACCAAATAACATCATAATGGAATCAATTTTGACAGCTAACACAATGTATGTTTCTGTAATGTTTTTAAGTAACAGAAAACTGTGACAGAAGTTCATGGTTGTACATTTGTTGTCGTAGGCATTTGTTAGCAGCAATGGCTTGTGATACCAAGCTTTCAAAAAAAGTGATAATTCTGTAAGTTATGGAGACCCTGCCACTGCTGCCTCTTTGCTTGCTTAATTAATTTTGCTGGCTCTTGCTTTCTGTCCTGTTCATATTCTTCTATATTTGCCCGTTGTCTCTCCCAAGCCTTGTTACCTGCGTTCTTGCACAGCTACCCATCTGTTCTTTTCACCTCTTGCACCTCTTCTTCTTACAAAATTATTTGCCTCCAGCCTTGCTTTCTGGTGATGTATAGGCCCTTCTTCCACTCCCTCATCTACTGGATTATGTGCAGCTGTGAGCATTTTCTCCCCTTCTCAACTCTTCTCCACTATTTCCAGTCTCTGTGTCAAGTACTGTCCCCCAACAGCCCTTGTAGTTGCCAGCTATCCCTGTCAGGTACTAAATCTCTTTTACCCATTTTAAACCTCTCTACTGCTGTCTCCTCCATATGTTGTCTTCATTTTACTTTGTAACTCTGAGTCAAAGAAAACAGATCGTAGTATAGCTACTTCTCAGATGTACAATTTTTTTTTGCATTGGAAATCCCTCTGGCTGTGAGTTGCAAGTTGTATATGGGCTGTCTCTCTGGGTTCAGGTGAAATTACATGTCTTATATTGGTGCCTTCCTTCTTCTGGGATGCAGATAGCTGTGTGAAACCAAAGTCCCTTGATCTCTACTGAGCTTTGTCATTTGCAGCTAGAGATGTTGCCCCCTTCAGCAGATCAACTTAGGTGCCCCTGCAGATGGTTTTCTCCTGTGATTCTTTTTTTATCCTTTACGCATTTGTACACATCTGTAAGTGCAAATTATACAAAGAGAAGGACGTAAAATTGCAGATTCTTTCTGTAGGGTATAGGTATCTTCCTTTAGTGCTTTTATGACTAAACCAGTTTATTTCAGTGTATTTTAGCTCAAAACCAAAGCTAGTTTAAATTCCTTAAATTGAAATGCTACCTTCAAAGCTCCTGGCAAACCTATGGCAAATCTAACAGTTCCATGGTTACATACCAAAATCACTGACAAAGCTATTTTTAAGTTGAGCCGATATCCCTGTTGGATTGTTACAGAAAGGGTGATCCAAACTCCTGAAAACTAGGTCACCTAGCGGCATAATATTATTGCTTCTGTCTTCCTCTCCAAATCTTATGTAAGTTTTTGTAGCTTTTTACTGGAAACGTGAAAATGCTGGTGTTTGTAAGGTTATTAACCATTTCTTATAGTGTATCCATATTTTATGCAAACTGTAATCCCCTTTTACCGAAGTTCAGTGATTTTTCTCTAAGGTTAGAGCTGCAGTGCGTTGCTCTTGAGCTGAGTAAGAGCTAAGCACACTTGCCAAACAAATATCAGGTCAGTTTATTTAGAAGAATAACAGTATAGGTACCTTGTTAAAAATAGTAAAATGAAAATCTTTGTCTCTAAAGGATGGGATTAAAATTTAAACTGAATATTACTTGTGAAAAATAACTGTCTGGGGTACACATTATTTTTCCTTCTTTCTACTTGATTAGCCCAATTCCATTGACGAGTTCAAATAACCATTCTCCTGAGTAAAACTTCCTTCTTTTTTTTAATGCTTGCTATTAAAGAGAATCAGTTACCTACTTCAGATAAATAACATCATGCCACTGTGGGTAATTTGATCAGCGAAAGTGATGAAAAATATGTTTTACAGTTCTTTAAAACATTTTTGGTCTGTTACTTAAAATGTAATGGGAGGTTTTCTAGTTCTAATGGAAGTCCTTATATATAGCTTATATAAAGTGGTAATGAACTCCCTGTTTGTGTTTCTTTGGGTGTGTTTTTTTTTTTGGTTGGTTTTTTGTTGTTGTTTGTTTGCTTGTTTTTTTAATATACTTTTCATGGCTCAATTTTTTTCCTGAGTGATGTTTTACTATTAAAATAGTTCTTTCTGAACAGCACAGATTTTATTAGTATTAACTTTAAATAAAAGCCTCTTTTGGTCTATTACTAATACAGCAGTAGCATTTCTTGCAACCTCATTGTGACTTTTAAATTTTTTAATTTTTTTTTTTCCAGATATAAAGCCAGCTAATGTGTTCATTACAGCCACAGGGGTAGTAAAGCTTGGAGACCTTGGGCTTGGTCGATTTTTTAGCTCCAAAACCACAGCTGCACATTCTTTAGGTAAGCTTTCTCTGAGGTACAGGTGTTGGGAAGGTGGATTTTTTACATGTTGGAAATACTGTGCCCACTCATGAGAAAGAAGAAAAGCGTTAGGTCCAGCTAAAGCTTTTCTTAAATAATAATAATAATAATAAAAAAGGTCTGCACCAGTACAGAAAAAGTGTAACACTGAGGTGTCACTTTCAGCAGTACAGTTCACTGGTTTTGCTTTGTTTTGTTTTGGTTTTTTTCTTCCCTCTTTATTTGAATCATTTAAAGTACATTCCTGGATGAAAACAAGTCTTCATGACAGTAGTGTTTTCTAGAAATACTAGGACAAAATAAGATCAATAATACGGATGCATCTTTTAAAATTCATTTGAACTTTAATCAGTGTTGGAAAGAATCAAGTAATTATGTGTGCCTGTGTGGGTAGCATTGATGACATGTTGGTTATAGGCTTTGAAAGGACTAAGAGAGGAGCTTCCCTATTTTAAGGTGGAATTTCTCAATATAAGCTAAGTCAAGGAGAGATCATAATTAGGTTTTATGAATCATAAAGACTTTAAAAACAACAAAAAAACAATACCACAAAAACCCCCAAAACAAACAATAAAAACAAATCCCAGAAAACTTATTTTTATAAGAAAAAAAACCTTTCTGAAATGCCCAGTTATTCTTTGCTAGCACATAAAAAATAACGTTGTATCATTTTTTTCCAAACAAAATTTTCATATAATTTGCACCCTTTGAGTAGCATGTGGAGACTAGGATGATTAAGTAAAAATTTGGCAGATACTTTAAGTTTAAATGTAGGGAATGGACAAATGACAGAAACTAAGAGGGTCTCTCTAAAAGAGAGAAGCCTTGTAAATACAGTAGCACCTGCTTTAAAGAGAAATGGAAGAATCATTGTTTATAGTATGGTTATGTAGTTTCTTTAGTTAAGAAAAAAATTTTCCTGCACTGAAGTGGCTGTGTTGAGTGGCTGCTGAATTCAAGACTGTTCACTGATTGCAAAGGGTGTGAAATGAACTTTTAGACCCCTCAAGAGAAGAGCCATTAATGGCAGCATCCAGAATCATCTCCTGTTCCTTGTAGAGGGTATTGAGGCAGGCAGAGTGCCTTACTGATATGTGAATACAGATAGGTAAAATCAATTCAAACGCTGCTCAGTGAGAATTTTTAACAAATGACAGTGACAATTCTGTAATTAGACATTTGGATATTTTTATATTTTTGACAGGAGTGCATGATAAGGAAGATAATATCAAAGAAAACCAAGAATGATGACATAATACTTAAAATCCCTATCTTAGGCCATGGGAGGACACGCAAAAATTGTTTGCTCAGATGCTGATGTTTCTAATTAGACTATGAAATACTAGACTTCTTGGATTAAAATATGCCATATTTTCCTCACCTTCTAACTTAACTTCATTCAGATAGTCCCTGTTATCAGTACAATGTGGAAAAAGGGAGAGGATTAATAATCAGCATGTTTGTACCACATTTGAGGTGTGGGCAGTACTTGTGTTAACAGCCAAAAAAATCTATCTTAGGATCATATCAAAAATTTCCTTTCTTACCTCCTTGTCTTCCAGAAAGCCTTCGGTCAGTCTTTTGTGCCTTTCTGTTTTTATCATGTTTTCTGCATACTGATACAGGTATAGTCAGAACCATGAGTATCTGCTGGGATCTTAACAGGACTGAGGTGAAACTCGGACACAGATGTGCAATCTTGCATTAATTAAAGAGAGAGACAGAGGGGAGAAGCAGTGAGACCAGACTGGAAGTATGCTTGGGTTCCATGTTGAAGTTCAGATACAGCCCGGAGGACCTGATCCTAGTTTATGGCACAGTGTATTGTATAAAGTGTTGCTGTTCATGCTGCCATCATAGCCCACTGACCGTCTCTGGCAGCACTGTGGAGATCTGTCTTGTTGGGTCCTGCTACTGCCTGCGAATGGAAGAAGGATGTTAAATGAGAAGTGTGAAGAGGGAGCTGCTCCTGGACTGTATTTGCAGGAGGCTGTAAATCCTAATCTCTGGGTAGGAGTGCAGGAAGAAGGCAAAAGTCAGTTGTAAGGGCGGGAGAGCTAGGCTTGTGTTCTAAGGCAGAAGTCAGGAAGTTAAAGAGGAACAAGCTGCTTCCAACCCTGGGTTATTTTGGCTCGTTGCAGGGGAGTGGTTGCAAAAGGACTGAAGACTGAGCTAGAGTTAAAAACAGTGTAAAACCCCCAAGCCCTTTAATGCTCATCTCTTAAAAATACAAGAGTCATCCAGAGAGCAGGGAGTGGGGGAATAGAAGCTTTGTTTCTGATGGTGGGTGCTGTGTCTTGGTAGAGGAGCTGTTATTTTTTATTTTCTTTTTTCCCTATTTTCTCTTCTCCTATTTCCCTCATAATTATGACCTAATGTCAGAATTCAGCCTAGGAAAAAGGTTTTGTGCAGCTGTTAATTTAGGCTACAGTGGAGACAGTGACACTCTGATTTATCATGTCACTAGCAGAAACCCCTTTTTAAAATTAATTTCTCATGCAGCTTCTGATGCTGGTTTGCCTGAAATTTCTTTCAAAGTTGTATCTTTTTATGATTCCATAAACCTTTGGTGCACAAAACCCAGTGAATTACAAACATATTATATATAGCAATTTATACTTGTTTACAGGCTTTATAAAAATTTCAGTAGCAATCTAGATTCAGGCTTTCAGAGATAAAGAAATGTACTAAAATTTTCATTAGCTTCAGCTTCTAACTGCTAATTATGAACAATACTGATTTAATTAGAGTATTTGCTGGTGGTCTGGTTGAAACAAATGAAAATACTGCACTGGACAGGGTTTGTTAATGTTCTTAACTCTTTCTGTAGAGCCTTATCAAAACAGCAGAATTTTATATTGTGGCGTGTATATATCTTTCTGAAAATAGAAAATCTTTATTCCAAAAATGCAAAGGAAATGGAAGCATTTAGTATAGTTGATTTGATAAAAACTTGACAAAACTTGTTGGTTTCAGAAGACTTTATATTAGAAAGGAGAAGATTATCCAGAAAAGGAATCTTATTCCTTTCTCTGTGACTGTGTGTTTTAGGGTTGTGTTTTTGTTGTTGTTTTTTTTTTTTTTAATTGCTGAATGCCAGGCCTTATGCTCTGTGATGAAATTATAGAATGGTTTGGGTTCGAAGTGACCTTAAAGACCATCTAGTTCCAACCCCCCTGCCACGGACAAGGACACCTTCCCCCAGCCCAGGTTGCTCCCAGCCCCGTCCAACCTGGCCTGGAACCCTGCCAGGGAGGGGGCAGCCACAGCTGCTCTGGGCACCCTGGGCCAGTACCTCACCACCCTCACAGTGAAGAATCCTTACATCTAATCTAAATCTACCCTCTTTCAGTTTAAAACTGTTACCCCTCGTCCTATCCTTCCACTCCCTGATAAAGAGTCCCGCCCCACCTTTCCTGTAGCCCCCTTTAGGTACAAAGGCCCCTGTAAGTTCTCCCCGGAGCCTTCTCTTCTCCAGGCTGAACACCCCCAACTCTCTCAGCCCGGCCTCCCAGGGGAGCTGCTCCAGCCCCCTGAGCATCTTCGTGGCCTCCTCTGGACCCGCTCAAGCAGCTCCATGTCCTCCTTATGTTGGGGGCCCCACAGCTGGACCCAGCCCTGCAGGTGGGGTCTCACGAGAGCGGAGCAGAGGGGCAGAACCCCCTCCCTCGACCTGCTGGCCACGCTGCTCTTGATGCAGCCCAGGAAATGGTTGTCTTTCTGGGCTGTGAGGGCACATTGCTGGCTCACAGTCAGTTTTCCACCCACTAACACTCCCCAGTCCTCCTCTGCAGAGCTGCTCTCATTCTGCTCCTTGCTCAGCCTGTATCTGTGCTTGAGATTGCCCCGACCCATGGGCAGGACCTTGCACTTGGCCTTGTTGCACTTCATGAGGTCTGCCCGGGCCCACCTCTCCAGCCTGTCCAGGTCCCTCTGGATGGCATCCCTGCCCTCCAGCATGTCGGCTGCACCACACAGCTTGATGTCGTTGGCAAACTTGCTGGGGGTGCTCTCGATCCCACTGGCCTTGTCTCCAACAAAGATGTTAAACGGTGCTGGTCCCAACACTGACCCCCAAGGAACGCCACTTGTCATGCCACTGCTCTCCACTTGGACATCGAGCTGTTGACCACAACTCTCTGCGTGCGACCATCCAGCCAATCCCTAATGCACTGAGTGGTCCATCCATCAAATCCATGTCTTTCCAATTTAGAGACAAGGCAATTCCGAGGCCAGCTCATGGAAATGTGCATTTTTTAAAAATCTTAGCCATTACGTGGATTTAAGGATAGTCCATATTTTAGTATTTTAATTACAACAACAACAAAAAAAAAATTAAAAAATCACTTCAGTTCTCCATTGTGGTTGTGCTAGAGGGCTACACAGTGTGCTGTTCAGGTGGGCACTGTTGCCGTGATGTGAATACCTTCTTGCAGGGCAAAGGAGCATATCTACTGTCTTCATAGACCACTTGAAAGCAAAGTATCATCTGTAATGATTTCTGGTGTTTATTCTTTGGTTTGACAACTTCTGTCATTTCCATGATACTCCTGTCCCCAGCACAGAGCTATGTTTTAAGGGATTTAACTCTAAACTCATGCAGGTTGTGGGGAATAAAATACCTTGTGAAAATGTGTGCAGATATGCTCCTTTCCTCTTACATATGGATCTCTAACCCATCAGAGGGTGTCAGAGACAGTGCTGAGGTGGTGGTAGGTAGGCAGCACTGTTTTGCCGTGAATAGAATAAGTTCCAATTTCATACTCTTAATCAAACTGTTCTGAGAACCTGCACCCTTGGTGTACAGGAAGGCTGGCAGGGAAATCTGCAGCTGATCCATCGCAGTCATCAAAGAAGCTGTATTAAAACAGCTCTTATTTTACGTACAGAAGCCTGAGATATCTTACAGTAGTTTGAAAGCTGAAGATAAATTATTGTGCTATTACAGTGCTACATTATAAAGTAACCCAAGATATTTATAGATTGATTTCTGCTGTTAGATTGTTTGCATAATGTAGGCTAGATTGCAGAATTACTTTGGATAAGTGCAGTATTTTGGGTCCTGTATTTGGTGTTGAAGCCAAGCCTATGACTTAGAAGTCTCCTATAACCTGTATTTAAGTAAAAAAGTAATAATACTTACAGTTATGGAGAATTAGTCATGTCAGTGGTTGGTTACCCTCACTGTTCCATAACTGCAGCTTATTTTTAACTTAGTCTGTCTTCAGCATCAGCCATTCATCTTGTTAAGCACTTGCATGTTATGTTGAACTCTGTATTATAAAATTCCTGTGATCTCATGGATATTAAGTAATTTATAAACAGTATTTTTTGATTACTTAAATACATTCGGTATTTTTTTTTTTAAACTGAAGTCTTGCTTTGGAATTCTTTGAAAATCAGAAGAGTTACTAAAGTGATTTTAGCCCACTTTGTGAACTCAGGTAGTTACGTATTCCAGTGCATGGAACGTCAGTAATAATTACATGGCCTTTTTTAAAACTAGTCTGTTAAACACATTCTGGATCAGCCATTACATTCTTTTGTATAAGTAGTATTAACCAGGCAGACTTTTCTCCCAGCTTAAAAAGTGCTTGATAGTACTTAGAGCTAGTTGGCTGTATTTAATTCAACTCCTCGATGCGTTGTCTGTTTTTAAGTGAACACACTTTAACTCAGCTGCAGTGTTAGTTATGTGTTTATGGAGGTAGTAAGATGGACTGTTTCTATCATAACTCCCTTCATAATAGTTTCTTTGCCTCTGATCCTTCTGATCCAGCTTTTCTGCCCCCTAATAACCACCATTTCCATGATGCCAGTTGCGTCTCCTAATAGCAGAAAGCTTGCATAAAGAAACAACACTTCCTGCATCTACAACATCTTCAAAGCGAGGGAGCTCCAGAGCAGCAGCAGATTCTGAGGAAGCGATTTATTTGACCCAGGCCATTTTCAAGGAGATAACTGTTCAGACATGCAGGTTATTCAGGATGTGCAAATGCAGTGAACAGAATGATAAAGTTACAAACTTTGTTCTTAAAAAAATAGGCACCTTAATGTGTTACATGTGTTACAAGTTGCTTGTCTTTATGGTATTGTGATGCTGTAATTCACTTAACAGAAAAAAGAAAAAAAGGTCCAGGAAGGGAAACAACATGTAATCACATCTGGTATTTGTTTGCCAGCAGTACAGTGCTATACTGAGATTGCTCACCGTTTTAAAGAATAGTTGCAATGCCTTCAGTAGTTTCTGAATGTCAAAATAATGAATCTTTTGTGTCATGTTCTGTTAAAAACAGTTTACAAGTAGTAATGATGTCTAGATCTTGAGGTTGTTTTTGTGATTCAATGACTAATACAACTGTAATTTCAATTCCTTTCACTTGTTGGTCATTGGGGGCTTCAGGTTGTATTGCAGTTAAGGTGTTACACTAGGCTAAACACTGTAAAATGATAGCATTTGTTCTTCTTTTTCACTATCATCAATCTTTCACAGTCATATCAGACCCCTAATGCATCAGCAGGCTTCCCAGAGCTCCTGGTTAAAATTACCTTTGCTTTTGGTAAACTATGAACCTTCAAACCTCTGTGTTTTCAGCTGCCCCCTGTGGATTCTGTGAAGCCTCTTTCTAGCACATTACTCACTGCCAGCTACTTGTCTGATGTCTCAGAGTAGCAAAGGCAGTGCTGCTATAACCAGCTAAGAACCAGGTTACTATTAAACTTTTATTTTTTGTTGTGAGGTGAATTCTGCCAAGAACGCATCAGAATATACTGAATCAGTGCATTAATTAATGGATGCAGAATGCAGCTGAAAGTTTTCAGAGGTGTCCAAGCTCCCGAGTCCTTATGATAAAAAAAAGTAAAATTCAAGGGGGAAGTGCAACAGTAAGGATTGTAAAAATATGGAAGCTGTGTCATGCCAGATGTTGTTTAATTACACTTTCCAATTTTAAGATAGCTATCAGTAAACACCCATTGAAGTGCTGCTGTAGATATGCTAGAGTAACAGAGTTGTTTCTGGATATTTTCTGGTAGCTCTTTTGGTGTTGCAGTCCGCTCATCTGCATGCCTGTTCTTTCACATTGAAAAAGCAATCCTGCTTGACCATTCCTCCGTTGTGAGTGAATACGAACATCCCATGAGAGTAAATGGTTTTCACAGTATCCCATCGTTTTGAGTTGCTTTTCCTCAGCCTTTCTCCTTTTAAGCTCTTGATCTTTTGCAGTCTCAGTTCAGAGTTGCAGTGGTTCCTCATGCCAGCGCTAAGGGAGCCTCTGGGGAGAGGGCCTGTGGCACCCTCTGCTTTCCTGGGGCTGGAAGTCTCTCCCAAAATATTTAGGGGGCCAAATCCATTGTAGCATGCAGTAGGGGAGCTCTGTCCTTGCATATCTGTTAGAGAAGCACGTTCTCAGTTTATATTGGTTTGGAATATCGTTTTCAATATTGTTTGCCAAGAAGGAGAAATTATGTGTTACCAGCAACAGTGGCCTGACCTGGGATGAGGTAGTACTGGGTTTCCCAATCTGAGATAGGGCACATTTGTCATAGCAAACCCCTTTACTTTTGGAAATGATTAGAGTGAAATTATTCATCTGATTAATTAAAAATATTAACCTGATTATTCAGTTTTGGAATTCCTTATGTATTGACTACATATCTGTTCCCAGTGTTCATACAGAGATGAATTCTGACTAGATGAGGCTAATTCAGAAATGCAGAAACAGTATGAGATCTTTGTGTTAAATAAAATAGTGTGAGATGCATACTCTGACTTTTGTAGTTTGCAGTGAGAATGCTGATTTTAATCTCTGGCTGTGCTGCAGGATGTTTAGTTTTGAAATAAGGTCAACTTCCATTGAATTGACAGAATTTGATTGATTTTCATCGTCAGGACTCAATGCATATGGAAATATTCCACACAAAATTGAAGTAAAAATCTACACTGATCTGTGACTCTTTTTACTGTTAGGCAGTCATTTTGGGGGGATATAGAGAGAAACTTCAGAGACAATGCACCAAAATTGCCACTACTGTTATTTTTCATAACTTCTTTTTTTTGTTGTTTTGTCATATATGATCCCATCAATCAGATACTTTTTTTTTTTTTTTTTCTTTTAAAATGATTTTTAATGGCCCTATTTACAGAGCTGAAACATCTCAGGATATCTCTCTTCGAAGTAACTTGTGACACAGATGGGTATGGTCTGATTAAAATCAAGGGGAAAGATGTCCTGCAGTATCCAATGTAAATTTGCTCTGGGACAGTCCTAGTGAATGCTGCTTTTCAAGAGCAGACGTCTCCAGAGCCTACAGCTCTGAGGCAGGATTAAGCTAGGACAGCCACAGATTTGGGAGCTGAAAAGCCCTTGCGGAGTCTGGTCCTACAGCAGATGGCTGAGTCGCTCGCAGGAACCTCGGCTTCTGCTGGGCTCACAGGTTTTCTTCTCTTCCTCTCTGGGAAGCTGCAGATCCTGGATTTCAGGCTCAATTTTAGTTTCAGATATTCAAACTAAATTGTGTTTATTAGTTTCAAAAGCAGCTTTTTCAGATTTTTATATTCTCAAGAGGAAGAACAGACAACTCATTTAAAAAAATAGTAAAAGAAAAATCAAGCCATGGAAGAGAATTTCTATCTGTTGTTATTTCCAGACACAGTGATAACAGTTGGAAAGGAGTGGGGACGTTTGTATGTATGTAGTATGTTCCCTTCAGAAGAAAATAATTACTTTCGAACTTCTTTAAAAGCAAAAATTGGAAGTATTCTACAACTGAATAATTCTGGTAATTAGATATTAGTAGTGAAAGTAAAGGTGCATTGGATGAACTAGGTATCTAATTAATCATATTTCTGTCAAACTGAAGAGTCATAGGTATGAATTGAGATTATATGTGTAGCAAAATGAGAAATATAAAAGATGAAAAATGTTTTTCAGCCAGGAAAACTGTACTTTTGCTACTGTATAACAACAGAAATTTTAATTCAAAAATACTTGTGTATTTATTGCAGTTGGTACGCCTTATTATATGTCTCCAGAGAGAATACACGAAAATGGTTACAACTTCAAATCTGACATCTGGTCTCTAGGCTGCCTGCTGTATGAGGTAATATTGATACATACGGTGTACTTAACACAGTTGTACTCCCCCCTGTTTACCCCCCCATGTATTAAGTACTGGTTTAGGATCTATTTCTATATTTTTGTGTGTTTAGAAAAGTATGTAATATTGTGGAAAAGCTACTTGTCAGTGATTATGCATCTATCTTTAATATTATCATGAGAACTCTTACATCACTTCAGCGTATGAAATACTTCTGTTTGTGTGTTACTCAAGACTGGCCTTTTGTTGGGCTTGATACAAGGATATTACAGCAATTTGTTTAAGATTGGGCATAACTGGAGGATTAATAAATGAATAATGACAAGCACATGTAAAATTGGTCTAGATGTTTTAATGGCCTGTGTTGATTATATGACGTTGGTAATAACTACATTGAGAAATAGTAGGTCCGACTTGAGTATGCAACTAATGCTTTCAAAAATAGCAATACAGTTATTTCAATAGAAGTTTAATTTCTTTAAAATTATTTAGAACCTCAGTAAAACAATAAAGAAAAGTGGTTTACTGTGTGTTTATTATGACTAGCTTGGTTTAACTTTTAAATCATGATTTCTGGACAAACATACGTAATTTTTCTACTCTCTCTTCTCTTCCAATTGGTTAAACTATAATTATAGGTCAATTTCTGTATTTATATAGTCAAACTTGGTAGGTGACACATAACTTTAAATGATACTATATTCTGAGAAGATAAAGATACAGGACAAATTGAAATTCAGGCAAATGAAAGTGTGAAGAACAGGTAGGTTTCTAAGGTAACTACATCTTCAGAATTCTTCGCATATCATTTGTTGATCAAAAGACTAGACACTTGTGTTGAAGGATGCTGGAAAAAAATCTTGTTCAATCACGAATGGCAGTGAAGTCTCTATTGTCATATTCCAGATAAAAACTAATATACCCAAGCCACCTGCCTCAGTGAGTCAGCAGAACTCATTTAATGCCTACTCAACAGGATCGGCACCTCTTGTTATTTTAAGATTTTGTAAAAAACATTATCAGCCTCTTAAAGCTGTAAGTTACTATTAGGTGAATTGTCTGTAGTAACATAGTTTACTTCCTACCACTAACATGTTCCTTCAAATATTGAGTGGGCAAATAGCTATACTGCACTTCTGCAGAATTTACAGGTCTGTGTATAGCTGTTACTTCTAAATCTTTGGGACAATTCACAGGAATTAAGTCTGATACCTGATGACAAGTATTTAGAAGTTTAAATCCTGAACTGAAACTTAATCCCATATTGGGATTCCTGGGTACTGACCATGGCAACTGCCATCAGTTTTAGTGCTCTACTTTACACATGTGCGCGAGAAGGAGCCTAAAGATAGCATAAAGGTAGAAGAGGATTTTTCAATATTACTGCTTCTTTTCCCCTCATTGTTTTTTTTGAGGATTTTTAAAATCTGGAAACAAACCTAACCCCTTGAATAACTAGTACTGTATAAAATGAACATGTTATACAGATAATTTTTCTTCTGTGTTACATGAAATAAAATTGTTGGATAGAAATCAACAGCACTTCTCTAAAGAAGATTTTTTTTGAGCTTGCTGCTTTGATGCTGGTACAGTATATAGGTGAATATTAAATTTTTCTTTCCCCTGGTAAATAATTTCAAAATAGCTAAATATCTCAATTCCGTGGATTAACTCAGCATCCTTAAATACCATTCTCTTTTTATTTGTTTTAGAAGTTTTACCAGGATGATATTTAAGTTGATATGGTGTTGTGTTTGGTTTTTATTCTTAAAATAAGGAAAAAGTAATTATTAGGATGCTTACTGTTGATATGTATTAAGTTTTCATAGAGGTACATTTATCCCATTTAATTAATTCTGCAACATACGAGGTGTTTGTGATGGGGTGGTTTTTATGTTGTTGTTGTTGTTGTTTGGTTTGTTGTGTTTTTTTGTTGTTTTTTTTTTTTTTTTGTTAGGGGGTTATATTTGTGTTGTTGATCATTGAGATGTAATTTTGAAATTTTAGGTGTAGTGAACTCAAAATGTGCTTAGCATTTTTCTCCTTTTTTTTTTCTTTTAATTATTTGATAGCAGTTACTTAAGGCTCTTCAAGACTTCTGAACTAATGCATGGTATTTTTATTATCTGTGCGGTTTTGTGCTGGATGTCTTTGTGAGATGTCTATTGCCTGCATTTTAGTATGTTTTATTATATTGATTTCAACTTGATACGTGCTTATATATGCTCTGGATTCTCTCCAGCTTAATTGGAGAAAAGCTGTGGCATGTTTATCACTTCTCAATAATTGCTTAATTGCTGTTAAACTCTTTTCAGTCATGTTTTAATTTAAATTTAGACTAATTTGCTATAATGTATGTTGTTTTTTAAAATTATTATTTTTAACCTATATTAAAGTCTATTATTTAATGCTAACTATGTTGCCAGTAAGATTTTTAAAAGTATATTTTAAAGTCTGGGTTTTTTTAGAGCTCCAGGTATTTCTGAAACCTCAAAAAACACTACCACTGGAGTTTTAATTGATATGCAACAAAGTAGACTTTACTAATTAAAATCAAGATGCTGTGCTTTTGCTACATGGACCTTTACATGGAAAAGTAGGTCTTACACATTTCCTTTTATTGTTCAGCGTAGCAATTGCATCCTTACAGGGTTGTAGGTTGGTGGCTTACAGTTCAAAAAAAAAAAAAAAAAGGAAAAAAAAAGAAAAAAAAAGAGAGAGAGAGAGCTGCCACCAGCCCCGAAGACAGACAGTGGGCTTTCGTCCCTCAGACACTCCCAGAATACTAATCAGGAAAGTCAGACCCTGGAGGTCAGGGAGCAAGTCAATCATTCTAGCGATCGTCTCAGTGTGGAGGATCAAATTAGCCTGAAAAATTCAGCTGCTGGGAGGAGAGGGCGAGCAGCTGTCAGGGGCAGCAGCGAGATGCACTAATGAACCAGATGAATAGTGCAAAAGCTTGAAAATAAAAACAGGACAGTTGACATTTTTCATCTGTCAAAGCAGGAGATGCATGAAAATATAGTATTCCTGTTTTAACTCCTTAGGGGACATTCAGAATTTTTTTAACACTCCGCAGCGTTCAAACAAAAGTACTTTTTAATGAACACCTAGAGTACGAAAATGAGTATCTGTGCATTTATTTAGAATTTCTGCGTGTATATAGACCCTGCAGTTGATTTTTTTTTTTTTTTTTTTTTTTTTTGCTTTTTTTGGTCTTTAGCTTGCATTTTTAACATGCTTTTTAAGGTAAGAGACAATGTCATTGAAATCCAGAAATTAACATTACTTTGGTAATATAGTTACAGAATTTAGGATAGAATTGTAGTATGGTGTTTGTTTTGGGAGCTTGAAAATTATTTATTCACACCTGAAAGTAGTATGAAAAAGTACTGAACTATTTGAGAGGATTTTTAACAGATATAAAGTAAATGTAAGAGAAGTTTGGTAATTTTCTTCATATATTTTTTCTCCCACTGGTATTGGTGCTTAGCCATGAAAGAGTTAAACTGCTATCTGGAAGACCACAAGACAGATGAGAGCCATTTTCAGCTTGTCCTGTCCCTGCTGAAGCTCACTGAGTAGCACAGCATGGACCAGCGTGTTTCACACACACTCTGCCTGTCTGGGGAATGTACACATTGTCCTTCCAAAATCAAACTTATTAGCACATGTAGAAAAGGGTGACTGACTTTGGGGCAGCACTGCACTCGAAGCAGCATTCGTGCTGCTGCGGTTCAGAGATTTAGAAGGCTTTGAACAGAATGGAGAGATTTAAAAAGAATTTTTAAATTTGTAATCCTGCTAACCGTAGCATTTGTTTCCACCTTAAATGTCAAGTTGTAACATGGTCTGGAAATAAAGAGTAGGTTTGCTAATGCTGATTTTTAAGCTGATCACTTATATAAGTGCTCTCCAACAGCTATTTTTATACTACAATTGTAAATTACCATCATGGGTGCCAGTTCTACACTCCTGATGACATTTTGGGATATTTTTTTAAAAAAGTATTTTTAAAAAATGCACTGAATTAGGTTTCTGTTCGTTTTTTTTTTTTGGAAGTATAGATGTTACCTTTAGTTTTCCCGATTTTAAAAAGAGCCAACTGTATCCAAGTCTAGTGTAATAGCTACAGAAGGTTACAAAATCTAGTACTGTTATCCAGCATTTTCAGCATACGGTATTGCTTTAGATCAGATAATGTTTTCAAATAAATTATATGTTTTCTTCCAAAAGATGTTCAGAGGAAAATTATATTGTGGGTTTTGATGATTTTTTTGGTCTTCCACATGGTGTAAGGACCCTCCACACTCACAGCAATATTGGAAACTACTCAATTTTTCCTCATACTTGATTAATAAAACTCTGATGGTATACAACTCAAATACTGCAAGAATAAGTACACACGCTGGTTACAGTAATAGTTCTGAAACTTCTGTTTTTAACACTGTGACATTTCTAAGCAGGGAATTGAAAGTTCTTAAAAATCACTTTTGATTTATTAGTATTACAGATTTTATGACAAAACAGGTTTACTTGAAAACACAAAAGAGAACTGTACATTTTCTTTAAACAGATGGCTGCACTGCAGAGTCCCTTTTATGGTGATAAAATGAACTTGTACTCCCTATGCAAGAAGATAGAACAGTGTGACTACCCACCTCTCCCTTCAGATCACTATTCAGAGGAAGTAAGTAGTTTTCCTTTTTATGGGCCAGATCCTCAGTTTGTGTAAGTTGGCACACTTCCAGGGAAGTAAGTGAACTTGTGTGATTTTATGTTATTTGCAGATTATGCCCGTAAGTGTTTGCTTGTTGAACTTGCTCAAATGTTCCTGTCAAAACAAGTCTCTGATATGATTTGAAATTGGGGGGGGATTAATGTTGGAAACCTCATACTGTTAGCTTCTTAATTTCATTGAGCTTCCTTGCAAGTATGAAAAAATGCTTTCCCAGAATGCACAATGATATGTTCTACATGCCAGAATGGGATTGAGTTGTACATCTATAGTATGCTTTTCTAAAAGCACAAATATACAAGTTTATGTTGCACACTAAATTATGTTGCACTAGCCTTGTTTCTCAGGGGGCTTGCATTAAAATAGATATAATGTAACTCACTAGTAAAAATTGTTTTGTTCCCATTTGCCTGCATTATCAAACTACAAAGTGCTGTTTGATACAATTGAACAGCAGTTCTTTTGCAAGAAAGAGTGGTTCTTGACAAAACTAGTAGCAAATTTTAGAGAAATATAGGCAGGAGTAATATAATTGAATTTGAACAATATACTCATGCATATCGCAGCAGTGTTTGTTTTAAACTGATAGGTAACAATTCTTTACTGTCATTAATGCATTTAAGAGGGGGTGTTTGCTTTTTTAAGCTCTAAAATGAAAAGAAACTAAATAAATATTTTTCTTAGTGTGAGTAACAGAATGAAAAAATTTAAATGTTTGCTTGTGAATGTTCTGAGATGCCAGTTTTGAAATACTTTCCCACTTTGAAATGAACAGGGGAAACTGATAGAAGCTGTAAACCAAAGAACATGTATTAGTAACCAATTCTAATTGAATTCAGCCTACATGAATTAAAGATTACTTTGAAAACGCAAATAAACATGGGCATTGAAATACTTTTAATAAACATAAAGCATTGTGCAATTTCATTTATAGAGTAGGAGTCGTAATTCTGAACCTTACATTTTTTTGCATTTAAGACAGTGATTGGACTGTTAATAAAAGATTACTGCCCAGTATTTTGTTTTGTTTTGTATTCATAATGACAGTTTTTTCCCTTTTATGAAACAAACTGGACTTAAAAAGCTAATTCAGTGATGTTACAAAGGATAAAATAATGATTTATTGTGCAATTTATACACTCAACGTCTTTGTGGGTTTTCCAATTAGTTATTTTATCTTGGCTGTTTTTTAATTATTATTTATTGTAGACTATAAATATGGCAGTTCATATAACCAACTTCAGAACTGGAGGCCTAGAAATACGGTAGGGTGTGAACAATAATGCAAAATGATAGCAAGAATGTCAGGGGCCGTTCTTTGTTGTGTCATTCATGCTGTCTTCCTTTTTCCATGAAGCGCATGAATATTTCACATATCTGCATCCTCATCCTCTATTCTTCTTGACTAATTTTCAGACTGTCTGAATTTGCATTTCACATGGTAGCTGATTAGGAGATGCCGAGTGCAGCAGCGAAGCCTCAGCAGGCGGTTTCCATGGTGACCTTCAGCAGGATTTTAATGATGATACCACTAGTGGTTCGTTGAAGTTGGCCTGCCTGCAGGGCTACTTCGCTGCAGCTAAGTGTGAAGTTGGATATGTGGATTCCCAGCCAAGGGGCAAATATCAAAGTCTGGCCCAGATAGAAGGTCTTAGAGTTTGGATGGGGAAAGAGATTCCACCTTTTACTTATATCTGTATAGTTTCTAGTGTTGAAAACGGATGCAAAGCACAACATGTTACGTTTTCTTTATTTCAAAGCAGACATGTACTTCTGCACCTTGGATAAACCAGTTTTTTGCAAAATGCTCGTAAGTTATTTTAAAAAATGAGAGAATCGTAGCCACGATAGGCATGAAGACAGGTATGAAGATAGTTACTCAAAAGAAGTAATCAACTGTGGAGACTGTAATGGGAGCTTTTTTTGTGTTCTGATAGGAAGACTTGTGTCTTCACTAAGCTACATGGAAAAATAGATATGTTTGTTAGCTATTGTACCAAAGTAAACCATTTTTTCCTTGTATGAAAAAATACTGTGCTGGCATGAACGGTTAAAAAAAAAAAATAGAAACAAACAAGAGTTATCAGTCATACTGGGATACTGCCCTAAATATTTCACCTGTACTGGAAATTTAGATATCAAGCCTTTAACCAGGTTGGAAGCATACTCAGCAGTAAAGATCAGGGATGGCTGAACAGTGAAACCCACCTCATATTTTATAACAAAGAATTTTCTGAAAGAAAAATTTCACTGACTGTTGATGTCTGCATCCTCTGACGTTACAAAATACAAGACAAGTGTTTTTTAGAGAAACTTTCTGTAAGTAAATTTTAATGAGTTTTAAGATGTGACACTTTTTTGAAATTTTGAACTCTCTGTAAGACCAACCTGTTAGTAATGTATCGCATCTGTGTCATCAGAGAACAGTGTGACAGAAAGGTGCACTTTAAGATAGGTGGACAGATGGAAAATTTTTTTTAAAACCTTTGATTAGAAATCATAGTAGTCTAAGATGCATTTTCACAAACTGTTGCTTCGGCAGTAGAGTCACACGCCAAGGTTTTAAAATGTTTAACAACTTTGCATATCTCAATTTTTGAATATTCGTTAGGAATGTATGGTATTCAGGGTGAGTACCAGCATTTACTGAAAGCTGTTCTGCTTTAGGGAATTCAAAGCTGGGGCTCCCTTGCCACCCCCAACTGATACTCTTAAAATCTTGTCAGCCAATATTAGTATCATGTTGCTTTCATGATAAATGAAGTTTTTTAAATCTTCCCTTTGATTGAGGTGCACCTCTGAAGTCCATAGCCAACCTCCCACCCAGATGTGAAGGCTGAATGAGCCAGCAGGTCCACAGTGGCAGTGTTAGTTGCCAGCAGAATGACTTGAGAATAACACTGAGAAAGGGCTTCAAGGTGTCCTATTCAGAGTAAGAATAGTTTTGTGGGTTTTCTCTCATCCACAATTTCCTATATGAAAATTTCTCTTTTTCAGCTGGCTAACAGTGCAAAGTACTTGCCTGTCATATTTCTGTCTTTCCCCCTCCTCCCGACCTGAGTGATAATTATTTATTTCATAGCTGAAAAACCTGCTAAAGTTAAAGAAAGTGTGTCCCACTGCTCCGATGTCAGGCTAAGCTCCAGGCTAAAGACAGTCATTGTGCTAAGTGCACAGAGGAGGTTAAGAACAATAAGCAGCCAGAGAAGTTTGTGGTTTGGGGATGCAACGTGGGGTCCCTCCAGCTCAGTCATAAGTCTCCTCTGCCTGTTGGCCAGTCTGTGCCAGATAATATACAAAATTACTCTTTCTCTAATGATAGTCTGACTTTAGAATCCAGTGCCTCTTCCCATGGTACTGTCTGGCTCCTCTGCTACAGTGGAAATTTTATTAATACTAGAGGGGTTGACAAGTGGATTTCAGGTTTATTGAAATGGATATCCCTGTAAGAGTTAAAGGAATAGTGCTATAACCAAGTGTTAGCATCCAGCCTGGTTCCAGTTTCAGTCCTGAAAGGCTATTTTCCTATGTAACTGTTTTCATCCTGTATATCAAAATTAATTCACCTTCGCCCAAAGGTTTGCTGTTCAATAACAAGGCTCAAAAGAGCTCAAGGATTTTGAAATTACTCATGAACCTGCACTGTCACTGCAGTGTCCCAAGCATAGTCAGCTCAGCATTTCTGCCTTACAACTGAGATTCTGGATTGGGGAGGGAGAAGGAGATTTTGCAGTAGTAGCAGTGACTAACATTTACGTGTTAAGACATGTTAAGCCAAAAGAGGTCTGTGGCTTTGTGGTTTATTTTGTTACAGTAATGGTAAAGGCTTGTCACTAATTGAGCTCACCACTTGCACTATGTTGGGAGCAGAATTGCTGAGTGAGTGACTGTCACTATCAACATATTCTGGTAGATCCTTTCTTGCCTCCTAATGATAGTAGCTACGTAAACGTTTTGGTGAGTTAAAAATAAGAAGCTCCAAAAATCCACCCATCAAGACACCATGTGGATGAATGTTTTTTGCAAGTGTACTTACAGGGATTAATAGGACCTAAAGCCCTACATGTGCTTTTGAGTAATGATGACATTTTGCTACAGTGCCTTTCTAAGCAGTGAATTTTCTTGGCTGTTCTGTTGAAACTTGGAATTACAATATACTGTAACAAGTAACAAAGTAACTCTGAAGGAAGGCTTCCTGTTTAATGACTTAACAAACAGTTTGAGTCTGAAATGAATTTTTAGATGATAAAGTTCAGTTTAGAAAACAAAATCAGTTACCCCCAGGCCAGGATTGAAAAGACAAAGTAGCCTACTGGAGGTAAACAAGGCTTCTTGTGCTTTTCACAGGTAAATTTCTTGAAGATCTACTTCTGCTGTTCTACCTACAGTAAAGTTATTGATATATAGCTGATAAAACCAAGAGAAAGAACACTGTTTGCCTTCTGGTGATAGCTTTATAGGTTTCAATCCTTCAGGGTCTTTTACTGAGGCTTTACTTACTGTATGTAGTTCTACTGAACAGATGGAAGTCTTCACAGAGAAAGATAAATGTATACGTACAAGATTCAGAGTCGTATTCTGCAGATAAATTGCACTTGTATTCTCTTTACAAATCGCTTACTTATTTGAGTCTAATTGCAGGCTTGAGGTTTTTGGATGTTCTTCAGTCTTCCCTGTTTTCCCTGCAGGCTGTCTGAGGTGTTGCATAACAAGCTGCTCATCTCTGCTAAGACACTGTGCCTGTTTCTTACAGTCTCACCTGCTTCTTCTACAGGAGATTGTTTTACTTTGCATATGTATATTACATGTTGGCAATTACTATTTCTTACAGTAGTTAATGATTTCTAGCATTCTGCTCTCCAAATGTTTGGGAGTTATTAGAGGCTAATAGTTTTTTTCTGTCAGTGGTATTGCATTTTATTTATTGGTTGCTAGAAGCAATCTGATGGATTTTATAGCTCTGTTAGTCAAAGTATACTTAGCATATTTAAGATTCAAATAGGAAGTCTGTTACAGATTGTTTTGATTTAATATGTTTCTTCTCAATCCAGCAATCTGACCACTATCTTCAGAATTAATGATCTCTTTTAAATATTAAAATTTTCTTGCTAAAGAGGAGGGATGTCTAGTGACAATTTTTGTATTGTTAAATATGAAAAACCTCTACCTTCTATACAGTTTACAATGTTTCTGCAATGACTAATGGACAAAGTTTTAAATAGTGGTATGCAATGTTTCTTAACTTTTGGTCTTCCTATTCCCATGCATTTAAATTAGTTTTATGGAAAGTGAAAGGGGTATAATTATAATTTAAAATCCTTCTTGGTCTTTTTATAAAAAGCAGGAAGGAAACTCTCTGATGGCAGGTTTGAATATGCAATCTCTGTTACTTTTAAATAATCATGGTGCTGATTTCGCACTGTGTTAGTTGCAATAATTACAGATTTTTTTGATAATCGTACTGAATAGTACTGGGAGGGAAACTGAACCAAATTTGATATATTGCCATACAAGGGTGGATCACAAGGTATTTTTTTGTTCCCCCATCCCCACCTGCTAGGTATATTTGGCAAAGCTACTAAAAAGCATAAAGGAAGAGCTTGAGAGTTGGTTAAGTTGCTTTTGTAAAGGATGGTAAACATTTTCATAGGTCATCATGAGACAGGTGTATTCCATGTTGAAAATGCTTGGGAGATGTACACAATCTAAAATAGATGCCCCATCAGAAGGTTATCCAGACAATATATTAAGTTCTAGTGTTATAAGTTTTAGGCATATCAAGGGAAGAATTAAAACCTGCAACTGTTCTGCCAGTTTGTGAAGTCAATGAAAAGTGTGCTAGTGGTGTGGAAGGTCTTTGGGGTTGCTTCTGCTGCGTATGTGCAGTATAGAAGGCCCAATAAACTACGGTGTTTGTGGAAACATGGGGTTTTCTAGTCATAGTGGTTTGTTCATTCCTAGATAGAGGCTTCTTTGAATGTATTTGAACATAAAGAAAAAAAAAAGATTTAGTTCTAAGAATAGATACTGGGACATAGGCTGAAGGTTATTCATTCCAGTATCATGTCTCCAGCAGTGGGCAAGTGGAGTATAACAGGGCCAGCATAATGTGATACTTTCCCAGCTTTCAGTTTTGAGTTCAGAGATTTCTTCAGTTAAAGGTGGAGTCTTTATATTAAATAGCCCTCAGTGGGATTATTTTTATATTTATTTAAATAGCCCTCAAATTTAATTTGTTGAATTGCTTTCTGAGTACATGTGTATTGGTAGCTTCTAGCAGCAGGAGGTTCTGCAGGTTAACGGTGTGTTATAAGGAGAATTGCTGCCTTCTGTTTGTTGGAGCCTGTCATGCAGCAATGCCATTTATTGCTGGCTAACTCTTGTATCGGGACTGAATGAACAAGCAGTCCCAATTTACCTTCTCTCCCTGGTAGTTTCAGCCTTCTGGGATTTGCAGGCATAGCCCTCCAAAAGCTCAGGAATTTTCATTTAACTGATGTATAATGGGGTGAAAGACATGTCTAAAGTTGTATGTTAAAAAGATTAGAACTTAAATTTGCTCATCAGTTTTTCTGGACAGCAGTACAAACTGTAAAAATCACGGGAGTATATTGCATACATGCTTGCATAAAGCACTGTGCAGTGTGTGTCGAGAGAGGGAGGGTTGAGTGTGTGTTTATGGAATTGCTGTTTGGCTAATTTTTGCCAGTCTTACTAATTTGAATTTGATAATGCACAAATACTACTTGTAAGAAAGCCAATGATCCTGTCATGTTATTTTCCTTTCCTAGCTGCGACAATTAGTTAATATGTGCATCAACCCGGATCCAGAGAAGCGACCAGACATAACCTATGTCTATGATGTAGCGAAACGTATGCACGCACACACTGCAAGCAGCTAAACAGACATCAGATCGTGAAGAAAAGAGCAGAAATAACCAAGTATTTTAAAATAAATCATCCCACTTTTTTGTTTGTGTGTTACAGAAATGTAGTTATTTGAAGCTTACTGTTGTGCTTTGAATTGTAAATCAATCTATATACAAGCTTTGTTCTTTTCTGTTTATTTCTATATTTTGTATTTTTTACTAACTTGCAGTTGTACAACAGGTTTAAATATGTAAAGCATAACTTTAAAGGATACCAAGAACCACTGTTTTCCATATTAAGTGGGTTCAAGTATATTTTCTTTAATAACAAAATTGTATTCAGCTGGGCGTCAGTTCTAAAACACAGTTGCACTTTTGCACATGATACAGATATTAGGCTTATTATCCAGAAGCAAAATGTCTGAATCTCTCACCTTTTTAGTAATTTATGGAAAGTATGAATCAGCACAGTTAACTTTATTTTAATCTTTGTTCTAAGAGGAACATAATAATTATAGAAGGTTATTGTATTTTCTGTTGAATTGTCATTTGTAGTTCGCAGCGTAAGAGTAGACAGGCAATAGGATTAGTTCTCTGCTTGCCAAAGGTGATGCGAAAATAGTTTCAGGAAAAATTGTCATGCTGAAATTTCTGCAACATCCCTTTTTGTTTTGTTATTCTGTCATAATGCACATAAAACATTTGTTGGAGGTTTTCTGGGAAAATTTAGGGTGTTGATTCTACAGTCTGATCGTTTTCAATAGGCTTGTGCAGCACTACCCTGGGGCAATAGGAGTCTGCATAGTTAAGTCTTAAAACCATGCAGATGCTTCTTGTAGCAAATAGGGCTCTTTTGAGGCTAGCGTTTATGAGAAGGTCTGATGGAAAGATTCAATCTTTAAGTTAAACTTCCCAGTTGTTTATATATATGTCACTGTTTGTAGATTTTTATGTTTAAAATAATTTCAGTGACCTTACAGTATATTTAAATTTTAAAGAGTTTGTTTTTTTAAAAATACAGAAACGTTTTGGAAAAGATGTATAGTATAACACAAAATGTATTCTTCATGAAGATCTGGGTTTGTGTACTGTATCCTGAGAAGTAGTTTTACATTTAGCAAAAGTAAATTTTAGCTTTTATGTTCAAAAGTTGCCACTCCTTCATTTGGGGAATAAATATATATGCAAAATGTCTTACAAATACTTTATTAGTTGCAAAGGAAATTCAGAATATTTTTGTTACACCTTAGTGCTGTTTTGGGTATGCTTAAATAATATTTTTATTGTTTAAGAAGAAAGGTGTCTCATTTTTATATGTGGTAAAAATGGAGAATGGACTGAAATTTCTTGAGTTTCAAGACCGAACTTTTCATAAAGAATGGTCAAAACCTAATTATTACCAGTGGTATTGCTAAGAAGCTGTTACAGTCAGGTAAATCTTTTTCCCTCTGTGGGTAAAAAGAAATTAGTTCAAATAAGAGTAGCGTTATGTACATACATGGGTAGGTCCTAGATGCAGTCAGTTCCCTGCACGTTCAGATTTATTTTTAATGTTTTGCTGCAGCTTTAATTTGTGATTTGATGCTTAAAGTGCTCAAAGAATAAAAATCCAGCTGTGGGGTTTCTGGATGAAATGTTCAAGCTACGTCAGGGATTTTTCTAGTTTTATATTTTTTAAAACTACAAATACTATAGAAATTGTTATGCAAAATACAAGAGTTTTTAAATAGTATATACCAGATCATCAGCTTACCTTAATACATATTTTTTTATTTTTGTTTCCAGATTTTGTAGGATGAATCCTTAGTTTTCCTTCTAGCTTCTGTGTACACTTAATCTTGTAGGACTTCAGTGGAACAATTTCAATGGAGGAAGTATTTGAGAAACCTTGGTTTGTGTCTAGCAACCTCTAGATTTGTTTTTGTTTATTATTTGATTATTGAATTTAAAAAATTATGGTTATATTCTATACCAATAGTTCACATGTCAGAGTATGGAATGGTTTATATTGGAAAAGGCAGTACAGTGTTTGCTTGACTGCCAGGATTAGCTCTTAATCCACACAAGTACTTGAACCATTTTTTTTTTCCTGAAATGTACTAGAACATTTAAGAATCACTGAAAAAACCCCAACACTATTTACATGTATGTAATATTACACGTCAAGTATGGAACTTCTCTTGAAAGAAGCCAGTAATTTTTTTTTTTTTCTTTATGTCTCGAAGGATACATTGAGTAAAGGAATCATGAGTTAAGAGTTAGAAAATGTGCATAGTTAAACAATTTTTTTTTTTTGCATTTATGATTAAGTCTTATGTGGAGGAAAATAAATAATTTTTTCCTATTTTAAATTCTGTAAAATGAATGGTGCAGATGAATCTGGTACCAAACTTTATAATTAAGAAGCCCATATGGGTTAATAGAACTGCTTATAGTACTGGGGACTGTAGAATCTCTCCCCTAAGTAAAGCACCTGTTAACATATGAAAATAAGCTGATTATAACACTCCCATGCGTCCTATACACTTATAAAATATTTTCCTTTATAATACACCATTCTGTTTTTCATATGTTGTTACATTTGGCACTATTTATTTTAAGCTATGGCATTATGTGTTTATTTTCTTTAAAGAGAATGTTACATTTCTAACCAAAATGTCTGACTAGTTCCTCCTTTTATTTCAGTAATGCTACAGTATTAACTGGCTTCATGAGTAAACTTTGTGCTTTGAATGACATTGCATAAAGTCTTTGTCTTTTCCTGAAAGCTCCCCAGCTGTGCAGTAGTCTAATAGAACCAAAAACATGCAGATATTAGATATAATGTAAAAATGATAGTGTTCCTATGATATTTTTCAAACTTTTCTTGTTACAGATATCTAGATATATATATGTTACAGTAGATGTTGCCTATCTTGTGGACAATATACTGCTTCCAGTAGTTCATTATAGGTGAGTTTTCTTGACTGTAACAAAAGAGAGTACATTCAAAAAATCTTTTTCATATTATTTGTCAAAAATTTATCTAAGAATACTATATCAGATATATTAATAATTAAGCCAAAAAAGTGTCTTCAGATAAAATTTTTTAAAAAATCTAAACAAGCCACATGAAAATATCTGAAAAGCATAAAAATAATGAAGAGCTCCCATAATATCCCCAGTTCTGTGAGCTCTTGTTTATAGGTAGACTGTTTTTTATTTAAATTCAGTAATTTTGAGTGAACCTTGTATATACACATGAATAAATAGTAATCAATAGGGTATATAGAAATTATTTGCTCAGCTCACTTTTTATACTGTTGTGGTTTGAGCCTGGTCAGCAGCCAAACACCATGCAGCCACTCACCCACCCTCCCCCCCAGCCTGGGAATGGGGGAGGGAATTGGAGGGATAAAGGGAGACTCGCAGGTTGAGATAGAAACAGTTTAATAATGGTAATAAAATGAAAACAATGACAGCAATAGAAAATCTAAATGGGCAGTGCACAATGCAATTGGTAACAGAAATGTGACTGAGACCCGCGCAGACCACACTAACCCCTTCGTTGATAATGGATACTGTGAACAGCAGTAGAGGGGCCCTGCGCAGGTCTCAGTCTCATTTCGGTTACCCAAAAAGAAACATTAATTCTATTCCACCCCAAACCAAAACTTATGCTTTCTGTATGTCACTGGTTTGGTAGCAAGGAATAATGTGTTTTTTTCCCCCCATCTTCTGTTGCACTCTGATGATCCAACTACCGATTGTATGAGCAGGTCGTAGAAGTATGTTCTCTTTTTGTAATGAACAGAAACTTTAAAAACATGTCAATATACCAGAAGATGAGATACAGCGTTAGAAGTGTCTGAGAAGGCTGGTGTTTTATTAATGCTCATGATTAAGACAGCAGTAGAGTGAAATTCTTGATAGAGGCTTAGAAATGGAGAAGGACTTCTTATGCCTGTGGTTCTCAGACATCTCTGAATGGGACCCAGAATCGCAGTGATGTTCATTTTTAACAATCTGTCCACTTAATCTCCGTCTTCGCTGTTATACAGCAAGATGAGTATCTTAATGGCTGAATCTGAGTGCTGGTGGTGAATGCTGCATCAGGTGTTTGATCTTCTAGGAACAGGAGGTTGATGAGAGGGAGAGTCAGTGAAGACCTTCGGGTCTTGTTTTTTGGAGAGTTAATTTAATCTGGAAGTAAAGGCGCTGGATAGCAAAGTTCAAATCACTGCTCTTCCATCATTTTTAATACTTCTTTAACAGTCAAAAGTTCTTCCAACCCTGCCATATCCCCACATCATCTAGCCAGTGGCAATGCTGGTCTTTCGAATTTCTGATTTCTGGTTTGGTCTGAGTGAATATCTAAACTTTTTTGCCAGGTTCACTCAAGGAGGGAAATACAGGCATTGGGCATGCCCAGTGGGGTGTTACTTATGTTTCTGAACATGACTCAAATATAGATTTTTAAGGTTCTCTTTCAAACTTTACTCCCTTCCCTGAACCTTGTTCTTCAGTTGATGCTTTTAAAAAATTGTTTCTGTTTCATACTCACTTCTGAAGTCCTACGATTCTTGTCTTCCACTGCTGCTGCTTCATCTGTCCTGTTGTCTGCTTCACCCTTCTCTTGATTTGAAGTCCTCTGGTGTCTAGTTTTCCTAGTGGCTATTAGTTTGCTTCCTTCTTTCTGACTTTGCTAAATTCAACCCATTTCTGTCTTCTCAAATTTTATCCCTCACCATGGGCAAGCCGTATTTTTTTTCCCCTGATAACTACTTAGCGCCATTGTTCTTCATTGTGTTTTTCCAGTCCGATGCCTTTGATTTCTAGTTTTAGACAGATTTTCTGCCTGCCTCAATCATTCCCATGACCTTGTCTTTACTAAATACTGTTCACTTTATTATCTCTCATTTCTAAATTCCCTTTCTCTGATCACTACCTGCTCGCTCTCAGCTTATCTGTCTTTCTCTCTCCTCTACCCTGTCACTCACTCCTTTTGGGATCTCCAGTCTATTAACCTTTCTGACTCCTTTACTCTTCTCAGCTGCCTCCTTCCTTCATTGGCCTTACTTCCTTTGCCTCACTTCTCTTTATTTTCATCTCTATCTGCTTCTCTGTACGTGGTTTCTTTGGTTGCTTCTCACATTGCCCTGTCTCCATTCCTCTCCCCAGATGTTTTTTCTTGTAATTTCTTAATTTCCATTCCTGCCTTTCAGAATATCTCTGAAGAATATATCAACACAATACAGCTTCAGACTCAGCTTTGCCTTACATGTTTTAATTCTCTTACCAAATGGGCTTTTTAACCACTTTTATACCACCTTTTTTTTTTAATTTTTGAGCTTGCTTGCAGATTTGGTGTTCATTTTAGTTCTCCATTCATCCTTGACACAAAATGTATCTTCAAAACCAGTCCTGATTTTTTCATGAAAAGATCCTTTTCAGAATTGTTCTTCTCTCTCAGAATCTGTTTCTGAATTGGGTTTCTCTGCCTCTTCACTATACAGGTTTCCCCCTTTTATTTCTGTATCTTTTACACCTCTTTCATTCCTATCATTGAATGACTTATTCATCTTTAAATCATTCTCTCATTTCCTTCACTATCAACCAAGTTTCTCTTTCCTCTGTCTTGAAGGGGATGGCATCTGTCATCCTAATGGGTTCTCTTTTTAAGTACTTTGCCCATAGTTCTCCATTTTTCATCCCCTAATTTCAAGTACCTGAATATCCTTACTCCGGTTTGTTTTCAAGTTTTTTGCTTTACACTTTAATTTGAATGCCCCCAAAATCCAGTGCTTCCTTCCTCAGTTTGGTTCTCCCATAATTCTATCTGCAGGTGACTCCTTGAGTATCCAGCCACAGCCTCAGACCTGTTCAGAATCAAAGATCAAATTTTTATTCCTAACTCCCTCTAGACTATTTCCTAACATCCCTGACAATTTTACTTGCCTGTTTTCCAAGGCCCCAACCTTTGTATCTCTGACATTTCTCCCATGCCTGCGTATCAAATGTCTCAAAGTCAGTAGTATCAGATTCTAGCCCACTCCACTATCTGTGCTCTTTCTTATCTTTTATCTTCACTGTATTAACCTCTGTGTCATTTTGACTTTTTTTTTCTCCTTTCAGAGTATCAAAATTGATAGGACTAAGCTCATGTCGTTGGGCTTTAGCTGTTTCATGTGCTGAAGAAGGAACTCCACCAAATTACTACTTGTTTTGTGCTTTTAAGACTTGAGTCCTGCAAATTTGGTGTTATTTCAGGACTGTAGAGCTGGAGTAGATTCCATTCCTCCAAGTACTTCGCAAGTCCTTGAATTTGGGCCTTAGTTTTCTACCAGATAAAAAGTTTTTGCCATTCATTTCTTTGTATTTACTGTATGTAACTTTGACTTACCTTATTTCTGCACATACAGCTAACAGTTGTTTTTTCATTATAGCAACTTGATTTCGGTGCTTTTACCATTGCTTGAAATAAGAATGTGCTTAAGAGCTTCCCTGGCTGGATCCAGAACGTCAGGCACAATGCTCCTCGTTGTTACTGTCCCACCCTTACACTGGCTTGCTTTTATTCTTTGCTGCCCTCTATATCTTGCCCAGCTGAAGCTACCCTCTCACTGCAGGGTAGTGTAGGTACAGTTGAGCCAGCTGCAAACAAGGTAGCTTGTGTACTTGCAGCAGTATTGCAAGTTCTTATCAACAGCGAAATGTTTATTTGTCTTGTAGGTCCAGAACTGAGCTCCGTGCTGTACTACTTCTCTACCCGTACTAGCTACCCTAATTTAGAGCCAAATCAGACCTACCTGCCTGGTGGACAGCCTAGTTTTCTGTGTAGGTGCACTATCTGACTTCGCAGTTTTAGCAGGCTTTCTGATTTGGAAGGCTGTATGTTTGCAGGGATTCACTGTTGATCAGATTGTCTGACCTTTGACTGCTCACAATTATCCTCATATATATGTTGAGTTTCAGAAGCAAAGTCCTCCATAAAATGAAGTAGTTTGGGGTTTTGGGACTGTAGGATGCAGAGCTGAATGTCAGATTCAGTTTGGTGACTCTGGGTATACACACATTTAATCACTGTTTATTTGCACCAGAATAATTCTCTTCTTTTAGAGGATCAGTTGCTTGTTGGCACAAAATAAATACTTTTTTAGTATTTTTCAGGTTGCATGTTTATTCTCTGCCAATTTGTATCATGTCATACCATTTGTTCTTCTATGACTGCCTTAATGATGGGTGGAGGCCTTACACCTTTTATCTAACTGAAATCTTTTGTTCATATAGAAATAAAAATAAAGAAATTAGGTGCATTGAGCTTTCCCGATAGTTCCGCTTGCTTTGCATTTAAATCCTTGCAATGGAAAGAAGCCTCAAACTGCACAGAAATGGTCCCCAAGTTAGAGAAGAGATGTTTTGAGGTTCCCTGCTTCCCCTCCAGCTTCTAGCTCCTCATTCTTTGACTCTCCTGGGGCACTTGCTGGGGACACAGCACTGCTGATGTATTGAGGGCTAATAGAAACTTGGAAACTAAAATGTTGATGCTACCTTGTTTATGTTTCTGTGGTGTCCTTTCTCAGTGTGCATAGGAAATCTCCCATTAAAAAATGACTATGAAGATCATTTGCATTGTTACACAGTCATTTATCACTCTTTACACACTTGGCATTAAAAATATGTGTTTGCTGTTACAAAGATAATTTTAAATCATGCAAAGGCTCTTAGTTTGCCTTTTAATGTGGAGTTGGTACTCTTCTGTACACTTCATTTGCTGGTTGTTTCTTTGATTTAAGTCATGCCTGGACTGTTGTAAAGATGATCATTGTAGATGAGTATTGTATTTTCTGGTAAGATTTTGTTGGAAGAGAGGAAGAAGGGAAACGTTCGTTTATTTGTTTAAATTTGGCTGCTGGTTGTGCTTGACTCAAATCATAGAATCATTCATATTGGAAAGGACCCTGAGAGAGGTCTCTAGTCCAACCTCCTGCTGAGAGCAGAGTCAATGCTGAACTCAGACCAGGGCTTAGGGCTTCAGCCAGTTGGATCTTGAAAACCTTTAGGGATAGAGGTTGTGCAGCTTCTCTGGGCAGACTGTTCCAATGCTTAGCTAGCTTTGCTGTAAACCTTGTTATCCTTATGTTCAGTCAGAAACTCCTCAGCTACAAATTATGGCTGTTTGTTCTCCTGCCACTCCTCAAATGTTCTTTATATTGCAAAAAAATGAGTCAAATATTGAAACAAACAGAGAATTTACGATGTTTTATTTTCTGAAATTGTTGTTGCAAGCAAATAAATATGTTCTTGTAGTACTCCTGCATCCTGTATGACATGTACACTATATTAATTTACTA